GAAACAGATTCAAGAAAGGGTTTAACTCGCGGGGACGGGGATGGGTATCATGAAACCCGTACCCGCCCCGCCCCGTTGCCATCCCTAACCACTAGCACCTTTTCTTATCCTTTTATATTTCTTTATCTGCACATATCGTATAAAGGGTAAGCAACTAAATAGGAAAATTGGGATATGAAGCGAAACTTGTAATGTAGAGGGGCACCTTCGTGAACCACTGAACCTGAAGCAGTGAAGCAGTGAAACAGAGCCTTCGTGAAGCTGAAGCAGTGAAGTGCGGCGTGGTCCCGTTTCCTTTAGAATAGGGTTTTGAGTTTTGACTGTTTTTGTTTTACAATTTGGACTTTAGTATTTCTACTTTATGTTGTCTCATGTCTGTTGACTTGCCTATTGGGTTGACTGTTCTGTTTCAATAAAAAAAATAAGTGGGCTGGTGGGCTGCCCGGCCCACCACGGGTTCAGCCCAAGTGGGCCGGGTAAAAGTGGGCCAGGTAAAAGTGGGCCAGGTTTAAATTTACCCACATACTGTAAAATTGTTATTTATTTTGGCCCGACCCGGCCCGTTTTCAAGGTGGACCGGGTTGGCCCACGGGCCACGACCCATTTTGATGGCTCTATCAATGTATAATATTTTTTTATGATTAGCTATCAATTTGAATTAATGAAATAGAGTATCAAAGAGTTTTTAATTTTTTTTAAAACTTTGCAAACTTGATCTATACATTAAGAAATTTTAGTTCAATGGTTAGATCATTAAAATTTAATATAGAACACGAGTTATTGAGTGAAACAAATCTAGGTAGACTTGCTCTTTGGGTAAGTGTACCTAAACTTACTCTATTCAATAACTCATGTTCCAAATCACATTTTAAGGATCCGACCGTTAAATTAAAATTTTTTAATGCATAGATTAAGTCTATAATTTTTTTAAAAATTTGAAAATTATTTGATACTTTGTTTCATTAATTCAAATTGAAGGATAATAACCAACAATACCAAGTTCTTTTCCAATAACAAAGGAAAAAGGAGTGGCGTCGAATGTGAGAAGAGAAAATCATCTTAAGTTGGCGTGAGATTGGGCATGAGATTTTGCCATGGTAGACATGAGGTCCCGAGGGTTCCCTACCTTGGTTAAGTCGAGTGCGAGCTAAGTCACATTGAGCATGGGCAAGACAGAGACCTCCTTGCCTCAATGAATACGGACACAGATGTAATGTCAATTACAGTTTGTTTTGAAAATACTTATTGTTTGGTGAGTTGAATGGTGAACATGAATAAAATTATTTAATATATTGCAAGTTGTATGTTAAATGATGGTGATAATTCTATGTATATTGATTTGGATTAATATATGTAGATGTTTGCATGTTGAAATTGTTGATAGGCATTGATATGCTATACTTGATGATGTTGATGAAATGTATTGACCTGGGGTAGTGCATGTAGATTATGTATGTTGAGGTGTTAATGTTGAAAATACTATAAGCATTAAAATATGTTGATTGACTTAGAACTAAAGGAGAGGATGTTTTTGTAAGTTGAATATTTGATAGTAGGGATATCAAATGGCGCTCTATGTCCTTAGTCAATGTTGAAGTAGGGTATAAAGTCGAGGGTTATAACCCTTACCTAATTATCAGAAAGGTTGTATGGTACCTCGAGCATAGTTAATAGGCTAATCCCACAAGTAACTTGGTAATGCATGTCAAGGTCGTGGTACACCTATATCCAATTATACTAGTTCTGAACTGGACTTTCTTAGTTTAAGTGGCAACACTAGAGACATTAGATGGTAAGGATTGGTATCTCAATTTAGTTGCAATCTAGTGGGCGCATGAAACTAAAAACAATCAAGTTGGTTTGATGGGGTCAAACAACTTAGATTGCTAAGGTGTTTTAGGAGATCTTCGTAGGTAAATGAGTGATGATATATTAGTTGTGATATATGCATATGATGTGGTCTAGATTGATGTTGTTCATATGAGTTTGGGTGAATATCTTGTTGAATGATATGGTTGTGGTGCATATTTTAATTGCTTGGGTGTTGAGCTTTCAAACATGTTGATGATTATATGATGTAAGCCTTGAGGTGTTCCTTGGTTGGTGTCTATAGTTTAGTTGTATTCTTCTATATACTTGTATGTTTGATCCTTTTTGGAAACTTAACTTACCCTTATCTATTTTCATGTGATTAGACTACAATGATCATACTTATTATTAAAGTAGAACGTGGATAAGCTTAAAGAGATGTGCAGTAGGAGGCCATTAGGCGGTGGGCGATGCGATTGGTTGTTTTCGGTGCTATTTCTGTGTAGTTTTTGTATAGATGTTACTTGACTAACAACTTAGGTTTATATTTCACAGTTACTAGATTATTATACTTATACTATATTATATTTGTAAGTTGTTTTACAATAATATACATGTTATACAATATATATCCATTTTTTATTTTTTATTTTTTATTATATATATATATATATATATAATTCTAAGTATTGATAGTAATTTCATTGCTAGTTGATGATTTCAAATAGTATAATGACCATGATATATTGGTACAAATAAATCCAATATGTTGCTAACACAACACTTAAAATATTTTAAAAACATTTTAATTTGAAGTTTTAAAAACATGTGTTTCCAAAATGTGAATGCATAATTTTGGCCAATTAATTAATCACTGAGATCTTACAAAATTTATAGAAACAAAAAAAAGCATAAATATTTAGTCGACGCTATCATCAAAGTGGGATAACACGGAGGATAATTCACATTTGCATTCTTTGGCTCTCCTTACAATAAATCACATCTAAAAAAATATTAATAATTTTTTGTCTGAGAGAACTAAATTAAAATCACTTGAGTTTACTAATGCAAAATATAGAATTTACATCAAGGTTTTCTCATCGGACATTAAAATATCCGACGTAAAAAAGGCGCGGTGGCAATTTTAAAAATAAGTCCAACTTTTTTACGTCGGACCCCTATGTAGTCCGATGTAGATTTAAAATTTTACGTTGAACTCCTGTATAGTCCAACGTGAAAAATCTTTTTATATTCCCAAGGGCGCTTATGTAACCTTCACGTGCGCGAGGTTACATCTATTTGGGCGTTTTCAAGAGATTTCCGGCGAAGGGTTGCTCGAGTACGTGGGGGTGTTTTGAGTGACGACGAGTTCCGGCGAAGGGCTTCTCATCACCCGTGGGTGATTCCAGATCTTTCTGACCGATTGAAATCTGGTGAAGGGCGTTTTCTAGGTTTTGCACGATTTGAAGTTAGTATATATATGAATGAGTTTTGGCTTCCTTCCATTGTGTATGAATCTTGCTGGGCTAAGCAACAACTATTGTATGAGTTTCAGTCACGGTGATTTTCGGCGAAGGGCTTCTCGACATCCGTGGATGATTCCAGATCTTTCTGATGGATTGGATTAGGCATTTTCTAGGTTTTGGACGATTTGAGATTAGTATATATGTGAATGAATTTTGGAGGAGGTGGAGGTGGAGGTGGAGATTGTCTTGCTGAAAACAATTTTACGTCCGATATAAATTTACGTTGGTTAACTCAACCGACGTAAATTTACGTTGGACTATTTTACGATGTAAAAAACTTGAAATAATAAACGTAAATTCTATATTATGCATTAGTAATTTTATTTATCATAGGAATTTAATTAAAGGTTATGATGTAAGTGTTGACATTAAAATATAAAATATTTATTCCAAAGCAATCAATAACTATAGTTATTAACGTGTTATAATTATTAATACTCTTAACATTTATATTGATCATTGATATTTTTTCTCTCATTTAAGTGTAGTTTTATCTTTTATTTCGTTTAAGTTTGAGTCATCTTATAAATTAATTTCTCCCTACACACTTCATGCATTTTTTTTTGTCCGTAACAATTATAATAATTATACTAAATTCCAAACTTAAAATTCTATGCATGTTATTTTAATCTTACGACCGGTGGAACCAGTGTGTTTACGTTGTGTATGGTGTATACGCTAGACAAATTTTATATTTGGTCAACACATTTTGATGTGATTAAGTCTGTTTACGTGCCCAAGGAAAAAACGCGGCAAGTAAAATCCAATCAGCGGCATAACGGAAAAGTCTAGTCAGCGAAAAGTGAAAACTGAAAGGCCATGGAAGTTGCATGCATCCTCCGTCAACATCAACCCCACATGAGGGCATTGCAGTCATTTAACCAAGGGCATATTCGGAACACAAAAAATTCAGCACCCTTGTTAAGCTCTACACAAGATCGCATTCACACTTGAAAGTGGAAACTCACAAAGTTACCATTCTCGAAAATAATGGGAAGTTTCAGGGGTGTTTTGGTCACACAACAAAGCACTATATAAACTCCATCACTTCAAGTGTGTGTCAGGCTCAGAAAATCAAAACGGGAAAATCACAAGTAATACACAAGAGGCATGGAAAATGAACCCGCGAGTTTCTGGACTCAAGCAAACGCTCTCCTTAGGAAGAATTTAACCTTTCAGGTAACTCTATCACCTCTCTCTGTAGCAGATTTTACGTTCAATATGATGAACATAGTATTGTAGAGTTTAGTTTCGTACAAATTCACTGTCTCTGATGTTTGATGTTTCTATCTAGTTCTCAATTATCATGCTTTATCATTGTTAGAGAGAAATAGCTCATGATACCATGTTAGAGAGAAACAGCAGAGAAGAGAAATTGTGTAATATCTGAAGTATTGATTGATCTTAAGAAATACATAGCTAGAGTATTTATATACAATGAGAGAAGTCAATTTAACTAACTTTAGGAAATAAGTAGCTATATTGCCACCTCATTCATATGAGAATAACAAACTATATCTATGCTAACTCGGTATGCTTTTTAATCATGTAACTATGTTTTACTTTGCAGAAACGAAATGTCAAAACAAACATTCGTCTCATCATGTTCCCCTTCCTTTTGTGTCTGTTGCTGGTTCTTCTCCAAAGCGTGTTGAACAACCAATTCGACAAGGCTAAGAACAAGTGTGGCTGCATTTGTACCAGGAAACAAGGGGACACGTGTCTCGAGAAGGTGTGTGCGGTTGAGTATTCGGATTTGGACCAAGTTGGCACGTGTCCTATTGCCAGCCCTATAGAATGGCCTCCTTTGCTGCAATTGCCGGCTCCACAGTACCGTGCTGTGAGAACGGATCTTTTCCCCTTTACTGATTTTCCAAACCCCTCGTGCAGGAGGAATGGCTCTTGCCCTGTCACTATGCTCTTCACTGGCACTAACCAGTCTTTTGGAGAAAGTAAGAGAAAAATTTGTTATTCCTTAGATTAATTTGTTTCTTTTCTTTTTTCTTACTTAACTAACTCCTTGTGTGTGTTTCCTCTTTTACAGTTATATCTGGGAATATGATCCCAAGTGACTTCAGTTTAAACAGGTCTGATATTGTGGCTAGTTTGGCAACAAATGTCATGGTTAGTTAGTATTTATCATATTACCATTTTCTATAGTAAGTGGAAAGTGTCTTTTGTTAAGTGAATTTAATGGACATGTATCATCAATGTAAAAGTTTTTGTACTGTCTACCAATCGGAAATCATCTTTGGTATGTATTTTAATATAATTATTAATTTAAAAATCAACAAATTTACTGTACTTAATGATTTATAATTGAATGATAGTGTACATGTATTTTTTTATTACTATTTATTTTAGGGTTTAATTTAATTTAATTTTGTCTATCAAAATATAGGGATCAGAATCAGCGCCAGAGTACACCAATTTTCTGGAATCTGCTTTCTTTTCGGATCTTCCTATTTATTATCTACAAAGTCAGTGCCCGCAGAACTCTACATTCTCCATTTCTGTTCCAATATCAGCCACTAGCAGGCAGCAAGGTATGATGGAACATCCTTGTATTGGCAATGTAGTGTTTCTTAATGACATGATGTGATAACTGGAAAGTAAATCAATAGGAATAGCTGTGCTTTATACAACTATTTTATATGAAAGTTGACTATTCATTATGCAATTCCTGCCTACTAATTAAAATTGTGATGCTTGATTGAAATAGTCAGATAAACTTGCATGCTTTGGACATGTGTTTTTTAATCTTCCATATGATTTAAAATCATTTTTTGGGGTCAAACAAGCAATTAGTAAATTAAAAATAAGTAAAATTTATGGCAGAATATCAGAAAAACAAGAAATAGTAGCAGTTACTTAGAATTGGTCTTAGTTTTAGTTACACCTAGGTAAAGTTGGTGTAATTGTGTGTTGCTGTGCAGGATTGCTGCATATTTGATGATGACAGGTTGACTGGCCATAAATGATATAATTTTTTAGTGAGGAGGTTTAGCATTTATTGTACTTTCTCAATTAAATTGTTTGCCATGTTATTCCTTCAATGATAACAGTTTCATTGCAAAATTGCCAAACTAGGGAACTATCAAAAGAAAGTATACAATTTTTTATGAAGTTTGTCATAATTGCGACCTTTGTGATGCTTTTGAAACACTTCCACAATGACATTAATCTTGTGCCCAGGAAATGCTCCTTCAAGTTATTTTGAATATGTTTGCATGTAGTATACTTGTCTTGTTTTTATATACTGTCATGTTGTTCTCTGGGTAGGTTATGTCAAGGTATGCATATGGTTGCCTAAAATTTGTTACATATTGAAGTTTTTGTTTTCCTCTGGATGTAGAGGTAACATGTGCTCAGGGTTTACGTTTGTGGCATAATAGTTCTTCTGAGGTGAACAATGAGCTATATAAAGGTTATCGTAGAAGTAACCCAGAGCGACAGATCAATGAGATAGCTGCAGGTAGGTATATAATTATATCTTGATTTACATCGTGTGGAAGGCAATACTTATTTTCGTAATCTTTTGACAGGTTATGATTTTTTAAATTCAAATGGGAGTATATTTAATGTCAGCATATGGTACAACTCAACCTACAAAAATGATACAGGCTTTAATCAAATATCATTGACGCGTGTTCCTCGTTCCGTAAATTTGGTACACATCAAAACTTTGTTTTAACTGTGAATCTTCTATGCTATTATGTATAATTGATATGACATTATGTAACAAAAAACTCAGTCTAAGTATATGAAATAACTACATGCTACTTGCAAAATTCACTTTAAAATTTTATTTTATTGAAATGTTTACTTAAAAATCTAAACTCAAACTTGAGAGTCTTTGAGATGGAAGAGATTTGAAGCATGCATATCATTTCTGAAAAGAAGCTTGATCATTAGTTTTCATATTCATCATTTAAATGTAAGAAGGGAATTATCATCATACCATTTTGTAGCATTCAATTGCGTTATTTTAGATTTCAAAACTAATATGATTGTAAATTTTCCTTTGTATATTTCACACTTTTCAATTTTATAAAATTTGTCTCTATTTTTGTGCATCTGTTAGATTATGAATTTATGATAGGGACTGACATCTATTATTGATACTCTTGCAGGTATCGAATGCCTACCTTCAGTTTCTGTTGGGACCTGGTACCAAAATGTTGTTTGAGTTTGTAAAGGAAATGCCTAAACCTGAGACCCCAATTAAGTTTGATTTGGCTTCTCTTCTGGGTGCTCTCTTCTTTACATGGGTTGTCCTGCAACTTTTCCCGGTAAATACATAAATATATGAAGAAATATATTCACAATGAACTAAGTTGTTTGTAACAAATTAACAATAGAATTTAGCGTAAATGAGAGGGAAGAACTGACATGGGTTGCAGATTAGGTTTCTACTGGCTAAATTCTAATTTTGAATTAGGCCTCTCATTCATACTCCTCCCATATCATCTTTGTATATACACAATAACCATGTAAAGCCTCTTTCTGGATGAGGTCTGTCACTCAGAACAATGCATGATTCACAGTCAAAGGCAAAAATTTTATCCAATATCTTCTGTGTCAAAAAAGTCACAGAATAGTTTATTTTCTAATATGTTTTTTTAAAACATTTGTATTTATTGATGTAGATTGCCTTGACATCGCTAGTTTATGAGAAGCAACAAAAATTAAGAATCATGATGAAAATGCATGGTCTTGGTGATGGGCCATATTGGATGATTTCATATGGTTATTTTCTTGCAATATCCATTCTCTACATGCTGTGTTTTGTGATATTTGGCTCAGTCATAGGTAAGAATGCAACTACTGTAACCTGTTCTCTTTCTTCGACATTTTCCATTTCTCTTTGATACAACTTTTTTTTTCCCCCTTTTCCAGGGTTAAATTTCTTCAGAATGAATGACTACAGCATCCAATTCGTCTTTTATTTCATCTATATAAATTTACAAATTTCACTGGCATTTTTATTGGCTTCCCTGTTTTCAAATGTTAAAACCGCTACAGGTTCGATTATTGCTTACCATGTTGTTTTATGAGCATTTTCCTTTATCATCATTGATTACTGACTTTTTATTTTTTATTTCATGTGTAATTGCAGTAATTGCATACATAGGTGTGTTTGGAAGTGGGCTATTAGGTGGCTATCTTTTCCAATTTTTTGTTCAAGACACATCATTTCCGAGTAAGTAAAAAAATGACATCCATCTTGGGTCATTCATTTGGTTTTCCATATATATTTTGACGTGGTTATTTTAAAGGAACCATCTTTTGGGTTGGCAATTATTGTATCATATCACAATTCACAATCAAATAGTTTTCTGCATGCATGATATTGTTGATGATGCAAAATTTTTCATTTGAATAATTGTTTTTGTTCTCAATGAACTTTTGAAAAAATTTCAATCGTTGTTACTTAACTTATTCTTGACTGTAACTAAATTGGAAATTATCATACTTACAAATTTCTTGTGTAATTTTTTATTAATTTCTTTGAGAAACATAAAAAGGAAAAAGTTTGAATATGATGCAACATAAACCAACATTTAGTGTCTTGTCCTCTTTAGCCAACATGTTATTGTCCCCTCTTAGAAATGTGAGTTTAAACCTAATTTAACCTTACAAAACCGGTTTGCAAAATAAGGATTGATCTCCACTTATATACTTTGTTTTGACCTTATCTCTAGTTGATGTAGATTTTTTCCAATACACTCACTCACACCTAATACTATTGAACTTTATACGTAGATAAATGGTGGGTGATCCTTTTTTAATCTAGGATAAACGAGACTTGGATTTTTTCTAATACATTTCACACCTAACACTGTTGGACTTGGTATGTGTATAAATGGTGAGTGGTCCTTTTTAAATTAATCTAGGATAGCTTTGAAACCATTTTAAAATGTACGTTTGGACCTAACTCAACTCTACAAAATCAACTTTTAAGGTGAAGGTTGCCTTCCCACTTATCTTTGTTATCCCCTAATCATGGTAAGTATTATTTTTCTAGTGGCTAGAAACCTGCTTCTGTTCAGTTTTAGGTTAAAGAACAGTTGTAGCCTATTTTCATTTACAAAAATAGATCTTCACTTCTTCTATATTTAGCCAGTAGATGAAGTTCCTGGTAAATTTATCTGTTGTTCTCTTAGCTCCAATCATTCATACTGGTAGCATTAATAATATCAACAGAAAGGACTGGGAGTAATAAGTTTGTTTTGCACATGATGAGGAGTGTTATGTTTCTTTGAATTGATACATAAAGATGAATGAGTTGGCATTTAAGGTTTAATGATTAAATGTTAATCTGATATATGGTATCAAATTCAGCAATTATTTCATTCTTTATTAACTGAAAAGAATAGACTAACATGATCAATTGATCATTGTGATCAGAATTTATATCCAAGTAGGTCTCATGGCAGTCATCTTTGTATGTTACGTGCCAACATGTTGGCACTCTCTAACTTTTGTTCTGGCCTGTTAACTGCCTGTACAATTTCTTCAGGAGGGTGGATCATTGTTATGGAGTTGTATCCTGGGTTTGCTTTATATCGTGGGTTATATGAGTTTTCGCAATATGCCTTTAGTGGGGATGCTTTGGGGACTGATGGTATGCGCTGGGGTGATCTGAGTGATGGCACAAATGGCATGAAAGAAATCTTAATTATCATGTTCGTGGAGTGGCTACTGGTGCTTTTCTTTGCTTATTATATCGATCAAGTTTTGTCATCAGGAAGTAGGAAAAGTCCTCTTTTTTTCTTGAAAGGATTTCAGAAAAAGCCTCATTCATCTTTTCGGAAGCCTAGTATCCAAAGGCAGGGATCTAAGGTTTTTATTCAGATTGAGAAACCTGATGTCAATCAAGAGGTGAAATTTATTTGCATCAAATTCATGTACTCATTATTATGTTTTTGCGACTGGTTTTAGGCGTTAAGAAACCTAATTTCTATTGATTGGTGGATCTCACTGACTGGTTTCAGAAATTGATGTAATGATGCCCTCTCAGTAGTAGTAGTAGTGGTGTAATAGATAACACATGAATAACTCGGGACAACTAGGTGGAATTCCAGTTAGATGGATTCCATTTGAGAAACAAATAACTTTCTACAGTCACAATCTTTTAATTTTAAACACTATTGTTTCTAGGGAAAAATATTGTATGATGAAGGTAAACTATAGTTAGACTTTTATAAGTTTGTACCTGTAGCGTATATCTGCTACTTACATGCATGCCTTAGTTACATGCATGATGTGTTAACTTCTTTCACCCTTCTGTCATCAGAGGGAGAAGGTGGAGCAACTACTACTTGAACCAGCTCTTAATCAAGCAATTGTATGTGACAACCTGAGAAAGGTCTATCCGGGGAGGGATGGTAACCCCGAGAAAATTGCAGTGAGAGGGTTGTCCCTTGCTTTACCTCAAGGGGAATGCTTTGGTATGCTTGGACCCAATGGTGCTGGAAAGACTTCTTTTATCAATATGGTCAGTTAAAGTTGATTTTCATCGGCAATGAAACATTTTTGAAAAATTCCTTGCTTTTCTTCCTCCATCCCTTCCTTTCCCCTTACAAAAATCTAAGTAGGATCTGAAAAATCTATTCGTTTCTCAAGAGGAAAGA